GCCGCGAGAATTCGAGGGCAACACATTCTTAGCGTGTGTGTAACATTGCCCGAACGTGGAGAAACGCCCGCATGCCGTTGCTATTGGCGTTTTTATTTGTATTTGTTTCCATTGTGATCCATCGTGCTCGGCTACCAGCGGTATGGGATCGTGTTGAAGGCACAGTCACGAGTTCAGCAACCCCCCCCCCCCCCCGTCAGCATGAGCATTCCCACATGGATTGGATATTCCCAAGTGGAGGAGGTGGGCATTCCTACTTCAGAACAACTTTTCCCGTATCCATTCAGCATTCCCGAGTGGGATGTGCATTGCTGTGCGGGTCGGGTATGTCCACTTAGATCAACATTCCCACTTCTATCGTCATTGCGTCTATGTGGGATCACTTGTTCCGATGTGGATTCAGCATTTCCCTTTTGGTTTGGAATTTCTCACTGGAGGGTCGGTGTTTGGGTGGAGTGTTCCTGCGTCAGGCCAGCGTCTCTGTGGTTTCATCATTCATCATCGCCTCCGATTAGCACGGTTGGCTCCGTACGGTGCAGAAGAAGTTCAATATACATACAGCATCATTGGCCATGCTCTATCGACTGCTGAACGAAGGCCTCCCCGGGACTCCGCCGTCTCTTGCGGTCATGCGCGCTGCAACAACGATCGCCTGCCACTCCGTCGTCGGTCTCGACAGCCGACTATTCATCCCTTTCCCATCGAGCCACAAGGTGTTGCCGCCCAATCCCGACGGCCGGTTGGGTTCATCGTCCACACGTGTGAGCCAACGCTCCTGCGCGGGTTCGGCGATCTTTAGCCCCGTCATCAATTCCTGACCCGCCGTCGCCCATTGGCAGGTCGGCCGTGCCGCGCTTCGATTGGTTGCGGGGTACTGTTGCTGTACGGTCCAACTCAGCCACGCACCGTCACTGTGTCAGGCCATGGCTCGCCGTGCCGGCGGGCGGGAGAGAGTGGGGGGAACGGGGTGCGTGGGGTGGGGGGGGGCAGCTTGTGTGCCGTTCCTAGAAGTGACGAGAATAGCAGCGGGAATGAGTGGCGCGCATCTCGCTGGCACAAGAATTCCACGGCTCCCAAAAACAGATGCCGCCCTTGCTGGCCGGGAGGTATACGGCGTGGTAGCCGGCGCGCGGCGTTAACGAGGGGGCGTCGAAAACGCACGCCGCGCTACGCCGCGAGCCTGTCGAACCGAGTTTGATTCCCGTCCGCGGCAAGCGTCGGGTGATGTCTGAGCGGGTTGCGGGGGCCTTCCCCCTTTTGATCGTCCTCCACTGGCCAGCGTGGTGAAGTACGATCAAACAAACCCCCATGACCGACACAGTGTAGGGAGGCCTTCATCCAGCAGTGGATTGACGAGCGCCAAAAAGGATGAACGCGTAAAATGTGACCCACGGCCAAGTCACCCTGAATGAGCGCTCGCTTGCCTTCTGCTTTCTCTCCGGGTTCTCCGGTTTCTGCCCGCACGAAGCCAAAACACTCATTAACGGAATTAGCCAAACTTCCCAACGTGTAGCAGGGGACCCTTCTGAGTAAATAAGCGGCCATCGGTTGTTATGTTTGGAAATTCTATTTACAGTTCTGAGTCGGGTATTCTTTTTTAAACAAAGGTGGAGAATGAAATAAATTTCTATTAAAAATTATAATTCGCTTACTCTTAGGTTTTTTCGGTAAAGTCACGTAGGTAAAAAATAAATAATAGAAATAATAATATTCAGCTGTGACGGTCCCACCTGATGACGGAGACTTGTGTTGCCTCCGAAACGTCGTGATTTATTATTTTATTTCTTTTATTATTTCTATTTACTTTTTACCTACGTGACTTTACCGAAAAAACCTAAGAGTATGAATCCTTGCAGTCACGAAAGCTTCAAATCTAGAATAGAATTCGCTTGTCGCTTGCGTAAATGTCGTACTTGCACCTTGCGCAAACAGGGTGCCATAGATTCTGCTGCACTTCGTGGAAGTAGGGGGGGTGGGGAGAGGCAAGATTAGGGGGGCAGTGCAGCTTTGTGCCACCCGAGGGCATGTCCCGAGCTGTCCCACACCACATGCTTCATTCGTTGATGCGAGCAGAGGACTAATCCCACACGCCCGTGCCCCTCGCCCAGCCAAGCGGCGGTGATGTGAAGTTGTCCGCGTCACTGCTGCGTTGCGTTTTGTGCTTTGGGAGTGCCCAATGTTGAATGCACTTCTGTCACGCGAACTCCGGTCATCCTCGCAGCAGCGGCTTTTAGGCTAACCATCGAACAAAGGCGGTCACCGCATCGCGTGCTTTCAGGTGCTTTTCTGCGGCCGTCTGGAACGCTCTTCCTTCCGTTATTGGGAAAGCCACTGGAGCGATGCACTTTTAGATCTAGATGATTTTTTTCGTGTTTAGTTGGATGTCCTTCCGCCGCACCTCCAATTAGCATGGTTGGCTACGTGCGGTGCGAAAGAAGTTCAGCACGCATATATGTCTTGTTTTAAAACGATCTGTGGTGCCCTTGCAAAGTCAAAGTGATTTCGTCTTCAAATCAACATTAGGGCAGTGCTCATCTCCCGTTTGCAGTGCTGCAGAGCCAGAGGTTGGTAATGTTTCTTTATTGCTATGTCAGGGGTGCGTTTATCCATAGGAAAAGCACCATTAACTTCCCCACTCAGTGGTCCTCATTTTAATCGACCCCAGAGGGATGATGGTTTGAGTCAACCCCCCCCCCCTCCCTAACAGGGATATGAACTCGCAAGCTTTCAACTGCGAGCCGCTCGCTCTACCGCCGAGCCACCGTTAATGGGACGCCACGGTGGCTAGGAGATGTTAACTACCTCGCCTGGTATACAGGAGGTCGTGCGTTCGATCCTGACCCTGATGCCTGTTGTATATTCGGAGTTTGCATGTCTCTATCTCCGTGGTCTCCAGGTTCTCTCCATATTTAGAAAGGTGCGTTTTAGAGTATTTGGCTGCTACCAATTTCCACTTGATAAGCCACTTCGTTGAGCTATCATTTGTGGCCAGGTGGCATCTGAAAAAGAGCTCGACAGCTCAGTGGGCCTTAGCTGGTAAAATCATTCCTGCGGAGGGAGCTGGTAGGAACGTTGGGTTGCTCGGTCAATGGCCAGGGTCAATGGCGGCGTGGTGTATTCTGCAAATATTCCCGACTGTGAGGGCGGGCACAAGCCGGCGTGAGTAGGTTAAACTTTGAGTTTTATAAAGGCACCACGGGGTGACCAGCCCTTCCCCAACCAGCCCCACCCCCCACCCAGCCCCACCCCTCCTGAACCCAGCCCCTCCCCACCCTGCCCACCCAGCCCCTCCCCACCCTCCTCTCCCCACCCAGCCCCTCCCTCCCCACCCTGCCCCTCCTTGCATGACGGACACAATAATCCCCTGTGGGCTGGTGTAACCAGGAGGTTCCTACCAGCATAATACAAATCGTAGTACAGTAAATCGATCTGTCGAGAACCACTGAACGGAGGCACCACATCAGTTCAGTTTTAATTAATTCCGTTGCGGATATAGCGGCCTCTAGTGGTCAGAGAGGGTCATGTGAACACGTTGCCGATTGTCGCGCGTGCGGTTCTCTGCGTGCCGTGAGCTTTAATCCCGTCTCGACTCACTAGCTTGTCTCCATGCTCTCAACTGGCTACCCATCTCCAGTAGTGTCACATACATGACCGCCTGCCTCTGCCACAATGCCTTCATATCCGCCTGCCTGCAGTACCTTTCTTCATTATTGACAACTTGCAGCTCAGCACACGGCAGATGCCTGCGCAGCGCGACTCACGACCTCCTCTTGATACCAAGATCCAGGATGGTCATCGTGTCTATGCGCCGTTTTTCGGTGGCAGCCCCAACAGTCTGGAACGATATCCCTCTGCACATTCGCAGCATCACCTCAATCGCCTCCTTCAAGAGACATTTAAAAACTCACCTCTACAATCATGCTTTCGAGCGACTCTGAGCTTGGCTCCGCGCCTCTGAGTTGTGGCCACTACGTCTGCAAATTTGCGCGTGTAACAAATTGAACTATTATTATTATTAAAGGAAACAATTGTGATCGGCGGCGATGAATCTCCGCGTGGTAGCACCGCGATGTCCCAAGTCACTCTCGGCCTCTCGCCTGGTTTAACGAACACAAACAACGTGTGGGTACGCTGCTCAAAGCGAGTGTATTCATGGACCGTCGCTCCCGTCACTGTCGCAATGTGCAATGATAATCGCTTCCTTATACCATCCAATTTTGATAACTTGGCTCAACTGCGTACCAAGGAAAATGTATGCTGGATTTTAAAAACATGAAAAAAATTCCAATCAAGGTGAGCAGCAGCAGGAATATTGACACGTTCGTCTTTATCATGTGCTATGAAGAAGGGTCATGACCTGAAACGTTGCCGATTTAAAACATTTTCATGTTTTCTTTTAAGGCTACAGTGTTGTTGACAAACGCGTTGTCTTTATTTTCCCAAATGCAATTAGGTGAATGAGAAACACATTTCGGTTTTTATGCCTTAGAGCAATTTTTTCCATGTTTTTAATTAGTTATCATGTGGATGTGTTAAGATTTGTGTTTATACATTGCCCAGTAATGCAGTGAATGCGTTTAATCTCATGCTTCGTTTTTTTGTCTTCTCCCTACTGTTGCCCTTCCCCAAAACACCTACCAACATATACATACTCACACTCACACACACATACACGTGCGTATACATATTATCCACTCATTCATACTATCATTTTGCACACTCACGTACACGATCTTTTACACTCACCTACATTCTCACACACTCGTCTGCATCGCAACACAACACTCATTATACACTCGCACAACCACGCAATCGTACTCTCACACAATCTCCCACACTCTTGTTATACAACACTCACGCACTCGCACACTCCCGCAACCTCGCACCCAACGATCGCAACCCTCCCAACAACAACGACAACAACGACGCACACCACCGCTACCCCGTCCCCTCTCGGCATCGCCCCCCTCCGCCCCGCCTCCTCGCTCTGCGTGGACCAGGCATGGTGCTTCAGCACCGCCTTCTCCCCGGTGTCGCGCTGGGCGTTCGCCGAGGCCCCCAGCATGGCCGAGCACCTGCGCCGCTGCCGCTACAACGCGGTGGAGCGGCGCCACGACGCCGTACCGCTGCCCTGCATGTGTGGCCCGCGGCAGCGCACGCGCGAAGGCCGCAGCCTGCGCTCCGTGCTGCGACCCGCCAACTACCCCGCCGCCTGACCAGCTACCTGATCAGCTACCCCTCCACCTGATCAGCTACCTGACCAGCTACCCCCTATCTGATCAGCTACCTGACCAGCTACTCCCTACCTGACCAGCTAGCTACCTTACCAGCTACTCCTCCACCTGATCAGCTACCTGACCAGCTACTCCTCCACCTGATCAGCTAGCTACCTGACCAGCTACCCCCTACCTGACCAGCTAGCTACCTTACCAGCTACCCCTTGGCCTGACCAGCTACCTGACCAGCTACCCCCTACCTGACTAGCTAGCTACCTTACCAGCTTCCCCTCCACCTGACCAGCTACCTGACCAGCTACCCCCTACCTGACCAGCTAGCTACCTTACCAGCTTCCTCTCCGCCCGACCAGCTACCTGACCAGCTACTCCCTGCCTGATCATTTATCTGATCAGATACTCCTTTGCCCAATGAGTTACCCCCCACTGCCTGATTATCCACCCCTCTCCCTGTTCAGCTACCCGTTTCACCTGATCAACTACACCTTCTTATCAGCTACCCCTCCGTCTGACCGCCTACCACTCAACCTGACGAGGGACAGGAGGGGGTCTGTCTGAGAAGAGGGCGGCGTCTACCTGATCAGGTGTATCTGATTGGGCGTCTGTTTGATTGGGTGAGGGTCCGTCAATGTCTATCTGAAGGACTTGTCCAAGCAGCTCGTCTGTGTGTGTCTTGGGAATGTCTTGTTTGTCCCAAGTCTTGACTCGTGGATAGTTTAAGTGGTTGTCATCTTAAGGGCTCATGGATCACATGGTCCCGTCTGTCTTGAAGGCTCGTCCTGTCTAATGGTTCCATCTCGCCATCTTGTCTCAAGAGCATGTCTGAAAGTCCCATCTGCCTGAGAGCATTTTGTCTGTTTGACTTAATGGGGGGGGGGGGTCCATGTCACATGGTCCCCTTTGATGGAAGCAACTTTGTTGCAAGGAACCGGATCGCCGATGCATGGACGTGTCCACGCGTAACCAGACGGTTTAAGTTGCGCGGTGATTTCGAGATCGATTCGGTTCTTCAACCGATCGCTCGAGCGTGACCCGACAGTCGTATAAACAACTTGAAATTCCAAACCCCACAGACACCAATCGAGCAAAGCAAAAGAAATGCTCTCCCAATGCCAGCGGTGACAGACGTGGCGTTAAATTAAACAAAGGCGCCGGCATGCGGTCGCCCGGAATTTCACATCTTGCATCACCGGCCCTCCTCTGCTGCCCCCCCGCTGTTCGGCTTCGGGGGGGGAGGGGGGCGGCCGTCGGCACGCCGTGACGATTCATCGTAACCCCCGTCGCAGACATCGGGAGCTTCAACTGGTTCCCTTGAAACTCCGACCTTGTCGGCGGCATGTACACGTGCGCGTAACGACGGGTCGCGCGATGATTTCGAGATCGATTCGGTTCTACAACCGATTGCGTTCGGGGCCGCCGTTATTTCGGTGGATGCGAATTGCCGTAAGTGCCAGCGAGGTACGGTGACGGTTTTGGGTGTGTGTCTGTGTGCGCGTCGTTGAAAATGCGACCGGCATCTCCAGTCGCCGTACAGAACGGCTCAGAAATATATATTCCGGAATCCTCACGACGTCGATAAACAGAAGCATTCAAATCAAACAAGACGAGTTCGTGCGCCGACGATGGAGCCCACGAGAAGTGCCTCGGCAGTCTCCGTGTGACCAGTGAAGTTGATGGCGCAGACGCTGTCGGGTAATGTTGGCAAGATGGGGCAACTAACATCGTGGGGCGAGCAGAACTGTACGAGTTAATAAGGAACGAAACCGCAACTACGGAACCCCGGATTCGTGACGTATCATCGAGACGCTGTGCGGGCGATGAATGGTCACGTGCCCGAAGGTCCCCTGTGTAATCGGGAGTCGCACGATCATGCGGGCCGCGGGGGTTACGCGCGAGCATGGTGTGTGGACTCAACCGGGTTGGACGTGAAGGGGAGACAGATGGACGAGGAGGTTGGGGGGAGTGGTGTGCAGTGGATGTGCACCCATGTGTCGTTAAATTACGAGGGCGATCGAAAACTTTTTCCGGCTGACCTCGAAAGCAATTTACGGACCTTGCTTTTAAGGCCCGAGCACGTTCAAGTGCGATGTGCCCTCGATCTTCCAAAAGCTACAATCAGAATCTGTATTTATACTGGAGGAATCCGATGAGCAATGAAGCTCTTTTTTCAAAGATGTTCAGTGAGGGGCCGGTCAGAAAGTTACAACAATACAAAAACACTGAGTGCAAAGTATAGGAACGGTTATCAAATCACTAAAACTACATTTAACTATTTTTATTCTACCAGGTGAAGCCTGCTGGGCTATTAACTGCTGTTCCAGAAGCAACCTGGCCACACATCATAAGCTCAGCAAAGTAGCTTATTACCCCGTGTAAATGTTTATCCACACATGCGTGTCCTACTTTAAAACGACCAGTGGTTTTCTTGCGAAGTCAAAGTGATTTTCTGTTCAAATGAACATTAGGGCACCGTCACCTATTAGCAGCTCTGCAGAGCCAGCAGTGTTCAATTTCCTAAATCTAATTTTTACTATATTATATATTTTTATTATTTTAGCAGGCAAGGCCCACTGGGCTACGTAGCTCTTTCAGAAGCAACCTGCCTATCACAAATGATAGCATCTCGACAAAGTGGCAGATGTCATGATCACGTGGAAATGCATCGCTAGGAAGAACATTGTGAATGTCGGGTTTCCTCCAAAACCTCTGCCCGTTCGACGGTGCCCACGTTGCAACGTCGTTGTGACGTCGTGACGTCGGTGTGACGTCGGTGCACCATCGTGACGCCATGCCAGAGGGGGATTCAACAGCGGTGCAATACGCGGGGCGAGCCACTGGGGGCGCCAGATCTGTGCTAAGTGGATTTCCCATCACATGTATTTCTCAAATGTTTTTTTTTGACATTTTTTCGGTCAAAATGCAACTAACTTTGAACGTCCGAAGAAAGAAAACACGATGGGTTAATATTTCTGAGAAATCGGCACAAAGCGTTTTTTACGTATATAAAACAAAAATACCTACCTACTTTTCACCAAGCATTCAACCAATGCTTTTAGAGCACCGCACCTTCGCCGTAAGGTGAAAGAATTTGCATCGAGCACACCCCCCCCCCCCTCGTCCTGTGTGTCTGTGCCCCCAATGCCACACTTACCCACGACCTTAAAAAACAACAATAACACCGAGTGCCGAGAGGTCCCTTTCAACAGAACAAAAAAAGTGGTTTCTGGCCTCAATTGGGCCCTTGCCTCGTCGCAAAGGTCATCTCATTATCTACGGCGGCAAGTACGCAAGCGCTGGCGATTATCAACAGGACCTACCGGATGGTGCCGGCCGTATTGACGGTGGTGGTCACAGTCCCTCCTCTTCAGTGAGATCTTGAGAGCTGATCCAAGAGGGTTTTTCGTCCGACTCTTCAACCCTCTACCAGGTGTCGTGGAAGAGAGTTTGGGGTCGCCCACACTTTACCCCCCACCGCAGCCCGTGACCTACCGACCGACTCGCCGCGGTGCTTCCGTTCATACCGCCCTCGGACAAAGGCGGTGGTGGAGAGGGTGGTCGGGGATTTTAAGAAACGTTGCACCGTTGTTTCTAGCGCCGCGCCGGGGAGATGGAATGGAACCCGGCGTGACGTGTCTGCAACGCAAGTCCTGCGAGCGAGCGCTGTTGACCCGTTAAACCAGCACTGTGACGGCGCGGTTGATGATCGTTTTGGGTGAATTCGGTTATCGAGCGCCTATTGCGCACGGACTCCCAAGCAGTGCGCAGAGAATGCCGCTGAGCTGTTTTTGCTGCCTTTCCTCCCCGCTTCTACTCCTATGTGTGTGTGGTTTTTTTCTATCAATTCCCACGTCTCACACCGTCGGGAGGGATTTTTTTAAGACGTTGGCCTATTCAGTGGCGATTATGCAAGCCAAGGGTGGATGCCCGTTGAGATAATGTATATTTTTTACGAGTGTACCGGGAGAGTATAAATTTGTATCGTAGATTAGCTCCGTGTGAAACGTTAGGCTTTTATAAGTACCCGACATTTATTCTTGTAACGTTGGATTGAAGGAGTTGTGTGTACACACTTGCATTGCGTACCGCGACACCGTGCGCACGCGTGCGTGTGTACGTGTGTGTGGCCTCAACGTGCACATAGCCTGGCACAAGTGTCGTGGTGACGTCACAGCCACTTTGTGGCGAATGGCGGTTGTTGTTGGCCTCAATGTGCACCTAGCCTGGCACAAGTGCCGTGGGGACGTCACCGCCACTTAGTGGCTGAATTGTTATTGTTTAGGGGAGCGGTAGGGTAGTGGTATGCGCACTGCACTACAAACCTGGCGGCCCGAGTCTTGTTAATATTAGCAGTGAATATATATTAACTCGGCCCTGGGGCCTCTCCTAGGTCGACTCGGCCTTAAATGGATAGCTGTCTCAGTGCGTAAAACGTCAGCACTGGGGGAGATTAAAGTGAACGGGCGTGACGTTGACAAAACCAACCTCTCATGCGTGGCGGTGGCCTTTATAGGTGCTTGCTAACAGCGCTTGCCCCAAAAAACCTGCGGTAGGCTGTATGTGTGGAAATGAAAACGGGGCTTTGTTTTACTCTGGTTGAAAGGAAAATATAACAAGTTGAACGTTAGAAATGTCAACAGCTAAAATAGAATTGGCCAATCGGCACCCGCGCAATTGCGGTCATCGAAAAAGGACGCAGTGCTGGGTAAATTGAGGAGTTAGTAAATGTTTCGGAATGACGGATTTAACTTAGAAACATAAAATGTGTAAAGAAATCGTACACACTTTTGGATGATGTAACGCGTAAAGTATGGAAGCCAACGGGTAGCAGACAGGGCAAAAAAAATGTAACTTTACAAAATGTCCCTTTCGGTCTCCGGCGAAATTTTGGGAAACCTTTTCATCACTTTGCCCATTGTTTAATTGGATAAGTCCCTGAACGACAACGCAACTTTACGCGAAAGTGTCACTCGTATCGGATCATCTCTGAGGGCTCGTTAGAGACGGCTGCAGCTTATTACATTTAAGGTTTCGACCTTCGTTGCAAAGCGTTAACAAGGACGGGCTGGTAACTGTTTTTTTTCCTTTCAACATCATTAATGTGTTTTTAAAATCTCTCAATCTCTTGTGCCTGAGTTGCAACAGCAACAGTTTGAACGTGTGATACGAGCGGGCACATTTCCATTGCCCGTTTTTTTCCCACTTGCACAGCAAGAGCCGGGCTGGTTGCCGTGCCGACGCCGGAAGCGTGTCAGGAAGCACGGGTTGCGCTTTTCCACTGCGCGAGCCGTGCCGAGCCATGCGGCCGACGTCAAAATGCATACGTAATTAGCCCCGCCCCTCAGAATATATATTTATTCTGGATCAAAATAATTTCTACTGCAAGAGGAATTCCAATGACCTTATGAAGCTCTTTTTTGCACAGATATCCGGTCGTGACAGGCCAGAACGCCGCCACAAGCAACAAACGATACAAAAAACCACGATAGGTTTCTGCTTGATAATGGGTTTTTTACCCTTTTATCTGGCAACAAAACTGACACCTTTTTTACAAGGAGTCATGTTTGCATAGACCACAATACCTGCAGTCATAATGCAAACAAAAAACACAACTCTGATAATGTATGCACTGTCCTTGAAGTTGATTGGTCCACACCCGAGACAGCTTTCCTAGAGCCTCGTCTCACATGGGTTGGACCAAAGTTATGTTTTTTGTTTGCATTATGACTGCAGGTATTGTGGTCTATGCAAACATGACTCCTTGTAAAAAAAGGTGTCAGTTTTGTTGCCAGATAGAAGGGTAAAAAACCAATTATCATTTTTTTACTGACAAATGAGGTTCCAATGAGGTTCCTGCTCGTTTAGGTAAAATGCCGATCGAAAAACCAACCAGGCCACGCTGGCCCCCATGTGCTGGCAATGGCTCGGGTGTGCAAGTGGAAACGTTGGGATTTTATTTTGTTAGATTTGCGGTAGTATGAGCCCCTCGCTATACTGTATTGCTTTTCTTTAGAGTTTGACAAACGTTTGAGATTCTTGAATACGCGTTCATTTTTGGAGTAACGGCAGGAGTTTAGAAACAAAAGATGTTTACTTGAATTAAATATATTCCAAGCTTGTGTTACTTACTCCAAGACTGAACGGATTGTCTTTCGAGGGTGTCTTTTGAGTGGCTGGCGGTTTGTAGAAGAGAAAAAAAAACACGCGATTTAATATTGAAGCGTATTGAAGTACTGTAGTTTGGTTTTGAAACTTAGATGCAATAATGTTGTAGTTTTTTTTCATCAAAACGGTTTGAAAGCAGCATTAAATTTGTTCCGGTTCAGCATGGCTTGCTTGGCACAGGCGAGCGCGACTGAGTTTCTATTAACAATGTGTTCGTCGGTTGTATCGTTATGTCCAAAAACATGAAGGATTATATTTGACCCGCAATAGTAATCAAACGCTACGTCTGTCAATGCTGCGGCAGACTTTGAAGTTTTCCCCGCAACGCGTTGATGATAACGGCATAACGTCGCGTATTGCGACTCGCTGGGGACGGTTGTGGGTGGGGGACCGGTGATTAGCACGGTTCGCTACGTACGGTGCGAAAAAAGTTCAACACGACATACATGCGAACATCTACACCATGTCCATAGCTTATTGGACAACAAAACAACGATCCCCCGTATAGCCTGAGCAGACTGTTGTGGCAAGTGCTGTTAGCGAGCACCTATAAAGGCCGGCACGGCACACGAGGGTGGTGGGTGGCCAACACCATGCCCGGCCGCCTTTGTCTCCCTAGTGGCAATGTGTACACACCGCACCAGGTACTAATTTGAGACTGAATCGACCTAGGGGAGGCTCAGGAGCGGTTCAGATAATCTTCACCGGTGTTGGCCCTGAGCGGGAAGCGAACTCGGGTCGCCGGGTTCGTAGCGCAGCGCGCTAACCGCTACACCACCGCTCCCCACGCACACACACAGACACAAACTGCTGACAACACATGCGATGCGTCTGCTGTCGTTTAGAAGTAAGTGAACGTACGTGAGAGAGAACGGCAGTTCCACCGTGCGAAAGCAACTCACCGCGCCGGGTGTTGGAAGGGTTAATGGGTCTTTGGGGGCCGACACGTGGACGGGTGCGACCGATAGGCGACGTTGTTACTGCGTTGTTACAAGAATTGCGTGCGGAATTCGTTTTAAAATTACGGGGAGCGTTCAAGGATCTGAAGTTCTCCCCGGGGGGTGGGGTGGTGGGAGGCGAAGTGTCCGTGTCTGGTCACGGTTGTTCTGAAGTTTTTTTTTTTTTGGCGTGAAATTCTTTTCCTCGTTTCGCTTCGCCGAAATTCTGATGCGGGAAGGACGCGCAAAGTCGACCCTTCACTTGTTGTGAGTTTACATCGATTATAATTTGTGTCCGTTTATTATTTTGTTGGGGTTTGGTTCATCGATGTAGAATTATTATTGTTTATCGTTTTCGTTTTGGCGTGGTTGATTGTTTTACATGAAGTATTACCTTATCTACGTGTACCAGGTGCATTGTTCCGAACTGTATTTAATTCTGTATAATAAAAAAACCGTCTTGAGCATTCTGCAGGCTTGTGTCTCTCGAATTATTTTCACAGATCGTTGTGGAGTCAGCAGGATACGCGCCGCGCGGAGATTAACGCGCGCGTTATGTAACCGCAGCGAGCGGCGAGGTCGATGTTTGGCAGCGCGTTCGGCTCGGCTCGGTGTCGTAAGGGGGGAGCAGCGATGACTCCGCTCTCCTCTTGCCTGTCTCGGCGCCTCCTCCTCGGCCCTCCGTGCTCTGGGATGTCGGGAGTCGGTTTCGGGTGGCTTGGGTGGGTGGCTGGGTGGTGTGGCGGATTGAGAGGTCAAAATCCCAGGCTGACGGGAGCTGGAGATGATGAACCCGCTTGACGAAACAAGCCACTGAGTTCGATTCCGGGCAGCGGCTAACATCAGTGGCCAATATGCGAACCGGTCCTGTGCCGCCCCTAGGGTCTACTTAACCTTAAATGTATACGTAATATATTAAACCTATTTGTTGCACACGTGGCATTACGTGCTTGATATGTCAACGTTTGCATCTCAAGGGAAGTGGCAGGGGCGGTGCGCAAACAATAACACTGGGGAGACAAAGGCGGCTGGGCTTGGTGCAGATCGCACGACTGTATTCCATTGCGTGCCATCACAGAGGCTTGCTCACAACACTAATGATCAAAACTGTGGCTGCACCGGCCTGTAATCTATGTACACAGGTGTGTAATTACATACCGAGAATAATTAGCAAGTGTCGTGCCGACAGGATATTTAGTGACTGCATACGCGCGCGTGTGTGAGTGTGTGTATATGGTTGGTTCTTTCCGTAAAGTCACGTAGATAAAAATAAAATTATAACTATTTTAGTCTATGAAGGCTACACGGGGATGTTTGTCTTTGGTGCTGGTCACCCACCCCCTCGTGTGCCGTGCCGGCCTTCATAGGTGCTACTCGCTAACAGCACTTAAAATAAAAATGATTATGTTTGTTCTATCTACGTGACTTTACCGAAAGAACCAAGAATATGAATTCTTGCAGTCACGAAAGTTTTAAGTCAAAATCGTGTGAGTGTATGCTTGTGAACTATATAATAGCGAGTGGTGGCGCAATGGTTAGCGCACTGCGCTACGAACCCGACGACCCGAGTTAGATTCCCGCTCGCAACCAATAACAGAAGTTGTATGTTTTAACCGTTCCTGTGCCTCCGCTAGGTCGACTCAGCCTTAAAAATAATACCTGCTACGGTGTGTAAACATCGTCACTGGCGAGATAAAAGCGGCCGGGTGTGGGAGTACTGGCCACCCACCCCCTCGTATGCCGTGCCGGCCTTCATATGTGCTGCTCGCTAACAGCACTTGCCCCAACAGTCTCTGAAGGCTACACGGGAGGGTTTTGCCTTAGTACGTGCGTCACAGTGAACTTGATTAGCATTTGACGAGCCATCGGCAACAAATGTTCCCGCATTGTCGCGAATGGTTGAACTCTGTGTCACCACAATTGACGCCACAGCAGCATCACATTTCTCTCTCTCTCTTACCCTCCTCTCTCTCTCTCTATTTCCCTATGCTGGAAGGTGACACTGACGGCTGCTCTGTGCTTCCAGTGTTCAGAGGCCTGCTTAAGACGCGGCTCTGGCTGGAGCACGCGTACCACACACATGTCGGTGATGTGCACGCCTTCTTCGAACGCTGGGGAGCCGGAAAAGCCCCTCTCTGTACCAGCGTGGACGGCACCCTCGTGTTCACCTTCTGAAGCGCTCGCTCGTCACCGTGGCGTGCGCGATGACCACCACCACCACCACCACGTGGCTTTTCTTTCGTGTTGTGCGCGGTGCTTTTAGCTACACAGCGTGTGGATTTGTAGCGTTTATTTTCATTTGTTTGCTGGTGACTTTGTGTATTTAGAATCGAAATCGCCTCCAGTGCTGTTGCTGCTGGCGGCAATAAAAGTTGTTTAAAAGTCAAACGTCTCTCTCCTTCCTTCCCTCCCTCCTCTCGGCACAGCAGTGGATAGAGCACGGGGAAGAGACGTGTGAATTGAATTACATGCGGAGGCCGTGTGGGTAGAAATTCCACACCACCATTATCATCATAATAATATGACCCCGGTAACACATTGGAGACACAGCGCAAATGTGTGTTCACGTTGCACACACACCGAATACGATCGCACACTATTAAAGTGCAAATCCACTTTATAGCAGCAGCAGTAGCAGCAGCAGCAGCGGTCTCTTCTTGCTCACAGTGTAATAAACAACCGCACTTAATTATTGATTACACTCATGATGATGATGATGACGATGCTGATACTGCTGCTACCTGAAATATCCAACGAGTCGCCTCCGATGTAAGCGTCGTGGAGCGAATGGAGAGCAGCAAAAAGTCTCAGCAGCCGCTGGACCCCCCCCCCCCTGCCAGCCCCCCAGCCCCCTAGCCCCCCTTCCATCTCGAGCAGAAGGCACGGTAACACGAGCGGGGCGACGGAGCCGCATCGCCCATCATCTCCCGGCGTCGTCATCATCAGCAGCAGCAGCAGCAAGAGCTGCTGATGATGACGATGATCGTGGTGTAAGCACGAATACTGACGGTGTGTTCAGTTTCAGTTCAGTTAATTCATACTGGTAGGAACCTCCTGGTTACACCAGCCCACAGGGGATTATTGTGTCCGTCGTGCAGGGAGGGGTTGGGTGGGGAGGGGCTGGGTGGGGAGGGTGGGGCTGGGTGGGGAGGGGAGGGGTGGGGCTGGGTGGGGAGGGGCTGGTCACCCCGTGGTGCCCTTATAAAACTCAACGTTTAACCTACTCACGCCGGCCTGTGCCCGCCCTCACAGTCGGCCATATTTGCGGAATACACCACGCCGCCGTTGACCCTGGCCATTGACCGAGCAACCCGACGTTCCTACCAGCTCCCTCCGCAGGAATGTGTCTAGGTATAACCCTGTGAGCCATGTAACAAACAAAAACATGAACAAAAAACATCTTAAAGTGACTCCGCGCAACAGAAAAATCTAGGAAAAAACAGCAAAGTCTTCCAGAAAAAGCACAGTATACCGTGTGTGTGTGTGTGTACGTCAGTCATTCAAATATGAACTCAAATGTTTTTATTTTAGCAGGTAACGGCCCAC